TTATTTTGGCAGCCATATGTACTTTTACATTGACTTGACTATATAAGGTTTGAATAGTGCACAAGGCAGCCACTTACAGATGAGAAAAATAAATAAATACTACCAAAAGAAACACACAGTTTTATGCATACTTTGCAGAATCCTTGTACTACTTCATTGTTTATACATTTTCCGATCTGACCGCTTTGTGTAACACACAAGAATGATAACAATTATTGGAATTTTCTCGTTATAAACTTTGTTTTTAAAAATGCCCTTAGAAATACCATGTTTCATAGGAAGGTAGGATATGGATGCCATTGTGTAGTCGAAAGACGTGCTGTCCCAGTACAAACCAGTTAATATGATGCTTATTTTTAGCCATTCTGGCTGAAATAATGCTCCGCTGCTTTTTTACATTATTTTATACACAGAACTTTTCAATCACATATTTCAGTGAAATATTGTTATAGTGAGTAAAAAACCAATGTTAAACTGTAGAACAGGAAATTTTTCGCGCAGTTGAATTTTCGTGTAATTTGCGGAGGTAGCGTTCTGCGCTGAAGTTTTAGAGTTTATTTATTTTAATTTCACCACTGGGGGCGCTGTATTTTTGTATTACTGCCCGTGTACACAACACACCACTCGCATTCACGTCATTCAAGCAGTGTAAAACAAAGTACTGGGGTGGTAGTATTTATTTAATGTTTTTATTTTATTATTAAAAAAAAATATATTTACAGTCAATAAATACTTTTTAACACAAATAGTAGTTAAAAACTTGAAAAAATATTTGTCTGAAATCTGACCCCTAAGCGTGTGACAGCACCGTAAAATTTATAAAAACAAGACATGATGTTTTACATGATGCTTTCTTACTGAATGTTATACTAGTAACACAAGACTAGTGAATGAAAATGTTATGTATTCATCTTAGAACAACAGCAATATTCATGTGACTGTCAACTTACTACCGGTAGTATTCCACATGTACACGAAGTGGCTTCAGTTGATCTGTAATGCCAGCAAGTTGGAAGCCCTGTGTACACAATTCCCGGCGATTTCAATAGACTGCAAGGCTTCAACTAACCATTTAGCTTGAAGCGGTTTTAATTACGAAAGACGAAGATTGACTTTGACATCAGAAATATCTTGAGTGTGAACTGCAGTAATAATAGCGATAATCCTCAGACGTGTGTTGGCTAGTTACACTCGTTTTTAATGTGTAAATTAGTAACAGACATTGAATAATAAAAGCTCTTCGTTCTTATTTGTCAAGATTCTGTTTTAAATTCTTTGACAAATGCGTATAAATGAAAGGTCAAAATTGAATCCTAGTAATTCGTCTGCAAGGAGAACAATAATAATACAATGCGCGAATTAGACGTAATTTGCTTTCACGTGAAAATTTCATTGCACGAAAATTTCCAAGTCTACAGTATATAATTAAATCATAGGAACAGCAGATACATATAGTTTGAAATTTCCAACGTAATTTAAGGTTTTAATGAGGTTGAAATAAAACACCATTGAATGCAATGAAATCATGCATGTGCACTTCGATCAAAGATCTACGAACATAAACTGATTGCAAATTTGCATAATTTTGGGCCAGTTTATTTCTAGTGTTTTATTTATCATTATTTAGAAATAACTAAAACAAAATTGTGTGTTCAAATATGGAAAAAGAAAAATATCAATACATTTAAATGTTGTTTTTTTACCTGCAGGTTTTTACTCCAAAGCAAGAGTGACATTTTGTCAACACTTGATGAAAAGGTTTCTAAAGCAGATGAAAAAATTAAAGTCTTGGAGGTAAGAAATTAGGATTGTATGTCCTGTTGATAACTGAAGGACATTCTAGAGGAAAAATCGTTGCAAAACTTGTGAGCTTATATTGTAGGACCCCAGTATTAAATTTTGCTTATATTAAAATCGTGTGATCCTCACAGACCACTGTATTTTGCAACAGCGCCCTCAACTGCGAATTGAGCAATATGTCATCTTGTGACATCCTGAACCATTCTCCTTCCAAGAGTTCCTTGCGGTTAGATCACCGAAAGTGTCTCTGCCACCACACACCGCCATTTTGTGGTGAAACAGGACAAGACTTTTACTACGCCAATTATTTGCGTATTTTTGTTATTAGAGGGATCTCGTGTTGATTTATTCCTACTGATAAACTAGTTTTAAATTATTTCGTCGATAGCTGATAATGATTTTTTTGTAAACACACTGAAAACGGTGAAATAGTTATAATTTACAAAAGAAAATAATTTCATCGCGGAATAACCGTTACTAAGGTGTTATTTGGTTCATCAAACTGACCATCCTTTCGATTGCCAGGCGAAGAATAACAAACAAACGAAATCACTTTGTAGTATTGACGACTAAATCGTCCTACTGCCACACCGTTTGTGTTACAGAAAGAAAAAAAGAAGCTTCTAACTTTGAAAACAGCCAGTATATGCAAACAACACGTAGACATTCGTCGGGTTCACTTGCATGGCAATGTTTGAGCGTCTTTGAAAGTAGTATCACTGTGATGCACCAACCAATCAACGACAA